AGCGCGGGAGGCCGGCGTTGGCGGAGATGTGCCTGGCCGCGGAGGTGGAGGAGCTGACAACAGCCCGCTTAGCCAGAGGGCAGCGGGTATGCGCACCAGCCCAGGGTGGAGTGGAGTGTGTGCCCCTGTCGACGCGAACCTGCGTGTTGTGCCGGTTGCAGGGCCTCGAGTTTTGGTGGTGTAGTTGCTCGATTGGCTAGTTTCATTCTGCACGAGTCAAGGGATATTGCTGCTCAAAGCCTGCAGGCTTATGCAAAACTGAAAACGTCTCCAACCCATTGCGCAGGCCTCTGATACATTGAAATGTGTCCTTTGGTCGTGTGTGTGTGTGTGTGTGTGTGTGTGTGTGTGTGTGTGTGTGTTAGGACAAGCTTTCCTTGTAATACAGGAAAAACTCAAACCGACTGTTCCTCTATTCTCTGGGTTTTCCAGGCTCCTTAATAAATAAGTGCCTAGCCTTAGGAGGTTGTTGACCTTTGATAGTGTGAGCTGATAGAGCGACTCGCCCCCACCCCCAGCCCTCAGCCTCTAACCCCCTCTTTCCGGATTAAAGAGTAAGGATACAAATGTAATGGGTGCCCGAGGGGGGCGAATTGGGACCCTGGCCAAGTAAACAAACCATATTCCTAAGAAGAAAACAAAGGCCCTGCATTCGGGCTTCCCAGTGAATCTGAGAGAAAAACATCATTTGTTTGAAATTAAACGTCTAAAGTGGTCCGGAGCAGACCGGCCTGGACGCCCGCACAATATCGCGAGTCCTCCCGCTGGGCCAGTTAAATGCTCACTTGTCCGGGATTAACCCCATGGGGTTAAATGGGGCCATGCAGAGATAACGGCGGGTGATTTCTGTCATTAAGATTGTGTTAAATTCTTCTTCTGTTTGATAATCGGTCGTAAAAATAAATTATTAGACCGAAGTATGTTTGGGATATGGTTAAAAATCAAGAGCAGCTCTGACTCCCGGGGAAAACACTTTGTGCGGGTTCAGCCCTGGCTCCGGCCAGACTAGAGGAGCTCTCCACTCTGACTTCGCACGGGGCGGACTCACGTCTCGCTTCGCTGGGAGCTGCAGAGACGCAAAATGTCTCCTCCTACCCCCGCCCCCACACCAGGCTCTTGGACCCCAGGAATGGTTTCTGAGTACAGGTGGCCTCCGAGTGAGCTAGGGAGGGAGGGAGAAACCTGGGGTGGGATGGGGGGTTCGTGGGTGGGAAAGAAGCGGGTTAGCTGGGGAGTCCTGTCACAGGCCTGGCAGACAACCCTGGCGGTTCGCTTTTGATAATTAGCAAATAAACAAAGAACTAGAAATAACCATGACTACTTTCAAGCCCAGATTATTGTAATGCAGGTGAAGGGCTCTTTCCCTACAATGCCAATAGTCTCTTTTCTACTTTTCAGACCAAAAAAGAAAATTGCTACCCTCGCATGTTAATGACGAAGAGGCATGTGATAGTAACAAATGCTGAACATCTGAGCCGTATTGGCTTTTAGGAATCTGGTAAACCAAAAACTGTAGTACCCTTGAAGGAAGGTTGCCAGCGTTCCCTTTCCTGAATATAAGCATATTTAGCTTACGTAATAAGCAAACTCCTGGCCAGAGCCTGCTTTTGAAAGAAAGAGATTTCTCTCCTTTGTTTGTTTTTTTAATAGTTTTTATTTGCTTTTAAAAAGGAAACATGTGTACAATGACATGCAATTTTCAAGAAGAGCCAGTATATTCTATTACTGGCATTCCCTCTCCTCGCCCACCATGTCACCTGAAGACTGAAAACACTCTCTGAGGAGGCAGGGGGGCTTCTGCAAGGCCCAGTCCGCTTGACATCTAACAAGCTGACCCACAGCCTGGCTCAACCCCCAAAAAGAGATGGAGCTGAGGTCAGCCAGGCCTCTCAGGCCAGGGCTTTGAGAGAGGGGGAGAGAGGAATGGCTTGGGCATGGAAAGTGGAGCCAGGAAGAGGTGGCGAGTTAAGCAATACCCCCCACCCCACCCCCACCCCGAGAAGTAAGAGGTAGAGGCCCCAGAGAACGCACCCCTAGAACCGAGATCCTTCGTTTTTCCTGGTTTGGGGTGTCCTGAAAGGAACCCCCTTGCGGAATTCAAAAAGTGGTCGTGACCTTCAGGAAGGGACTGGGCCGAGTGCCTTCCCCCGTCAGTAACCCTGAAGTTTCGGGGCGGTGGCCCTGGATTCCCAGCTGAATCAGTCCAAGCTGCCTCCCCGCGGCCGGGGCACCTGGCTTAGCTACCCGACCTGGGGTGGGGGACCTTTGTCCACCCCCCCCCCTGCCCCCAGCGGCGCCATGGATTGTGAAACAGCTTGGCCACAGTGGCTGGTGTGAAGGTGCTTGGCCTGGGTCTCTGGTGTGGGAAGCTTCCTTCCCCTGGAGGGGTCCCAGGCCCGGCGCAGAGTCCCAGCCCGACACACACCCTCTCACGGGCCTGCAACTATGTCCAGAACCCGTCTTCTTAGGAAGACCCGGGACAACCGCCTCCGGGGCCACAGACCCCCCTCCCCCCACACACACACCCCAATCACTGGATCAGCAAATGTTTGCCGAGCACATACTAACGTGGGTTCCAGGGTACCCGCTGAAAGCAAACAATCCTGCTTCCCGTTGGGAAGCGACTGTAATGCTAACAGGGACCCCAGCGACAGCGCCCAGGCCCTCCGCTGCGACATGCAGAATGGGGGTCGGGGTGCTGCTCCGCCCCGGGTCCTCCGCGTTGACAGAAAAGGGAGGGGTGTTTAGAAGGGTAGAGGGCTCCCCGGTGCGGCGCGGGGACAAGAACAGGGGCCTGCCAAGGCGCGTTAACTTCTGAGCAAGAAGCAAAGAGAGAGGGGAGCTGGGCAGGAGAGATGTCCATTTTCTTTGGGACTCCCCCCCCCAAAAAAAATCAGCGTGTGTGTGTGTGTATGTGTGTGTGTATGTGTGTGTATGTGTGTGTGTGTGCGCTTCCCCACGCCCACGGGGGGGGGGAGGATTTGAACAGTTGTCCCAAGGTGGTCAGTCCCTGCGGACCCCCGCCCGCCCGCAGAGGTGGACCAGGTTGCGCTCCTCGCTCCCGGCCGAGTGTGCGCTCCAAGTTCGGCCAGGCTGGCGCGGCCGTTTCTCCGCACCGCCCGCCGCTAATATATGCAGCGGTTGCTAGCGAGGCTCCGGGGAAAAGGAAATGTATAACGAAAGCTTATTCGTGAGCAGGAATATACTAAAGGAGCAATCTGATGTCTTCTTAATCCTATGTAAAAAGCTTTGTGGTCTTCCTAATATTGACTGAATGGGTAATTAATGGCTCTTCATCTAGGCGAATACCCTGTAATCCAAAGATAGGCAAAAGACAACAGCCCAACGTAGAAGACAAAAGGC